GGTCCCACGTGGTGCAGGATTTGCAAGATTTCAGAAAATGCCCCAAATATGTTCCCCCACCTTCCTCTCCCGCCACCACACCTCTGGGAGAAGGCAGTCATGTTTCCTCTGCAATCACCAAAGACTGAAAGGTTTTCTGTCTTTGAGATGCTCAAGGCCAGGTCACCTTGGGTTTCGCCAGACAAGGATTTACCCTGGCTCCCTCCTCTGAACCAAACAGGGTCTTGTGGATGGGGGCAAAGCAAACACAACCGGGGGCTTGCAGGGAAAAACCGGGCGCCCTTCCCGGTGCTGCTGCTCCCCTGGGAGCAGCCCCCTGCCAGGATGGCCACCGCCCTGGAACAAGCCCTGGCCTCCAGCATTGCCAGCTTCCACGAGTGCTCGGGGAAGGAAGGTGACAAATACCAGCTGAGCAAGGGTGAGCTGAAGGAGCTGCCCAGCTTCATGGGGGCGAGCATGAGGACACCCAGGACCGAGCCCCACTAGCATCCTCATGTCTCTCCCCACCACTGGGGAAGATGTGGGGGTCAGGGAAGGGCTCGGTCCTTCCTAAAATAGGTTCTCCCCATCTGCTGAAACCACCCGGTGCGGTTGGTGCCTACCTGTGCTGCAGTTGGCAAGCACCGTCCTTGACTCCGCTGATGCTCTGTGCCAGGAGCAACTGGATGAGCCGCAGCTTCTGGGTGCTGCTGAAGGACCTGGAGGACAAGGACATGATGGACTTCAAGGAGTACGTGGTCCTCCTGGGCTGCCTCGGCATGTTCTGCAATGACTTCTGTGCTAAGGCTCATGGCCCTGCCAGCCAGCATCGAGACCCAGCCCATGGCTCGAATAAAACTGCTGTCACCTCCCCAACCCTGCTGCGGACCCCTGTTTGCATTGGGGTCACTGGGATGGGAGTGCTTGGGACCGTCTCTCTTGGGGAGACTGGGGCCAGCCAGAAAGCTGGAGGTGTGGAGGACCATCAGTGATGTCAGACTGTCAGCCAAGTGTGATGGCTTAGGGGGGGACGTGGGCTGGTGACCAGCGTTCTCCGGGAAGCCTCAAGGGATGCCCCAGCCCTTCCCAGTCCCCGTGCCCTCCCTGGGTCCCCAGATTCCCCAGCAGGGCCAGCAGCTCCTCCCAGCAGCACCCAAAGCCACCCACCTCCCACTAATGCCATCACACAGCTCGTTAGGCAAAAATGAGGCGCGGGTGAAACCGCCTGTGTGGAGCTGCTGGGAAAGCCTGGAGGCAAGGGGGCTGCATGGGGTGCACTGGGCAGTGCCACCCCGGCTGGGCTATAAATGCCCATCGTGCTCCGGCTGCAGCACCCCGGCTCCTCGCTGCTGCCTGATCTGCGCTGACCCCGGTGAGTCTCTGCTCCCCTTCCTTGTGCATCGCTCGTTGTGCAGCTGTGGTCTCCAGCTGCAACTCACCCAGCAGTCGCTGCACCCCGAAACGCCTCCCCGAGGGGCACTGGGGTTGCAGACGCCCCTCTGCAGCATTGCAGACTGATTTGGGCAGGGTGCGGGGGACGGACCCCTGTCACCGCCCGGAGCCTGCCCTGACCCCATCCCCGGTGCTCTGCCCTGCAGGCACGCAGGAGGCTGGCAATGGCGTGTCCCCTGGAGCAGGCGCTGGCCGTGATCGTCACCACCTTCCACAAGTACTCGGGGAAGGAAGGGGACAAGTACAAACTCAGCAAGGCAGAGCTCAAGGAGCTGCTGAACAAGGAGCTGCCCGTCTTCGGGAGCGTAAGTGGCCGTGGGGGCACATCCCTTTGCAGCCCTCGGAGGTGCCCGGGGTGGGTGGGAGGTGGTGGAGGGGCAGGAGCGAACCAGCCTCGGGTCTTTCCACATAGCACGGTGCAAACTGGGGTGAGCTGAGGTGGTCTCTGAATTTCCCCAAAGCACGCACCACGGATGCAGCCCACGTGCGACACGCTGGGACCTTGCGCTCTAGGACAAGCCCTGGGGAGAAGGAGGGATGAGACCAGGAGGACCTGAGCTGGAGCATGCTCAGACCGAAAGGAAACTTGGCTTTCTTATAGCCACAGAAATATTTTGGTTGGCAAAGAAAATCATGCTCCGATTTAAATTTTTTTTTTTTCAATCCTTTTTTAACCCCCACTTCTCCTTCTGGCTTGTGGTTTAAATTGGGAGGAGGGAGGAGAAATTTTTTTAGACAAACTTTTTCATGACCGAGAGGCGTATTTGCTGTAGCCGTGCAGCATGCCCCAGATCACAGGTAAGCCACCTGCATTTCTAAAAGGCCACCTTCTTCCAAAGACAAAGAGGAAACCCTCCTTCAAGGCAGGGGGAGGGAAACTCAGGCTTTTTACATCCTTCCTTGCAAGCAGCAGGGCTGGATGGGGAAGCCCCTCGCTCATCCGTGCACCCTGAAACTGCTTACCCCCACCGCGCTCTCCCCCCTCGCAGAAACAAATGGACGAGGCGGAGTTCAAGAGGCTCACGAATGACCTGGACCACAACAAGGACAGCGAGGTGGACTTTAAGGAGTACGCCTGCTTCCTGGCCTGCATCGCCATGGGCTTCAACGAGTTCTTCAAGGATGACCCCACCAAGCAGCCCCGCAAGAAGTGAGCCCTGCTGCCCACAGCATCGCCGTGGGTCTTTCAATAAAAGCTTTTCCAAAACCTCGGTGTGCATCAGCAGGGTTTCGTGCACCGTAGGTTAGCGGGCAGCGGGGTGACTCACGCCTTCCTCTAGCTGTGTGGGATTTTCCACAGCGTGACTCAGGCCTGTGAGGCATTTTTTGGAAAAGCCTGAGCAAAACAGCTCAGCGCCGCCTCCCAGCAACGTACTCAGACATCCCCCCGAACCATCCTTGCTGGCTCGGGGAGAGATTCAGCGCACGTTTAGCTCAAAACATACGAGCTTCCCTGAGCCCAGCTTGGATCGTAGGTCGGCACGAGCTGCCCTGGGCAATGCATGGGGTTTGGGGAGAGAAAGCTGCTCTGGAGGAACCGGACAGCAAGATGCCAGCTCTGTGCAAAGCACGAAAGCCAGAGCGTGTCCCCAGTTCCTGCAGAGAAGAGCTGTTTCTGACAGCTGGAGGAGACCCTTAGCCCCTTGGGAAGTGGGCGAGCCCATGCTGGGGGAGCACACTGGAGAAGGTCAACCTGAGCCTTCCAGGTCTACCACGGAGCCGTGGGGCTGCAGACAAGCGGCAGTTTCCAGAGCAAATCAGCCTGTGATACTGGCTGGGAAACGCTGCCCCCCCCCCCCCCCCCCCGGTAGCTGCAGCAGCTCCCGGCAGGTCTGGGCTGGTTTGCAGAAGGTGCTGCAGCTGCTCTCCAGGTTTCCCCAGCAGCCCCAAAAAACCTGGGAAACCACTGCAGATTCAAAAAGCCCTTACAAAGCCTTTGCATCATTGCACGGCAGAGCAGACCCCTGACAGAGCCTGTCCCAAGCCCCCAAGTCCTCCCTGAGCCCCCAAGTCCTTCCAGCATCTCCCAGCATCTCCAAACTTTGCTCTGCCCCTTCCCAGGGTCTTTATAAAAAGCCCCTGGGAGCTTCTGCCCCCTCCCAGTACTTTACACCAGTTTGCACTTGTTAGCAGGGAGACGAGGCTCAGGCTTGGGGGTTTCTTTTGCCAAAAGAGTCCCTAAAGAAACCCCCGACCTGGGGAGACGCCACGCGGTGTTTGGTGGGGTTTCACATCCCACTGGGCATCGGAGCTTCCCGGAGCCGGCAGCGGGTCTTCATCCCCTGTTTTTCTCACTCTGGTCCCCACAGCAGCAGGTGCCTTTGTCCCGAGGGGGCTCAGCCAGGCTTGGGGACACTTGGGGTATTTGTCAGCCCTTGCACCACGGTGAACAGCCAGCTTGCCCCACGGCAGGGGGTTGCAAACTGCCGGCTCCTGGCTTTCCCCCGCAGCTCCCTGACACATGCCCGGGACACGCAGACACCAAAATAGCGCTCCGTTACACAACGGGGCGTTGTGATGCACTGCTCTTGGAATTATGAAACAGAATGTGCTTGCAGTCAAGTTAAAAACAGAAAAAAAACCTCATCCAAACTCAAACCCCAGCACGACAACAAAGCCGTGGACAAACGCCGCTCGGGTTTGTGCAGCTCCAGACACCCCCGGGGATGCTGCCAAAACCATCCTGCGCAGCGTCGCACCCTGCACTGGCATCGCCTGCCCTTGCTGGCAGCGGTGGGACGAGGTGCCCACCGCTGCCCTTGCTTCATCCCTCGTCCCTAGGAATTATCCTCGACCAGGTGGTCCCCGTCCAGCCCCAGGGGCGCATTTTGCTCTTTCTAACCCAGACCAGCCTGCTTGGCAGCGCAGGAGCAGGACGGTTTGGGAGGGCCAGGCTGCTCCCAGCGCTTCCTTGTCTCCTTTGCCAGCCAATGTCCAGACAGGCGCTGGATCAGCATTGGTGCCTTCCCAGCTGGGTAAGGAGGGAGGTGTCCCAGGCGGAGCTATAAATGCATGACCTGGCGCTGGCTCTCCTTCCGCCTTGCCTGTCCCTGACTGTTTTGTTTGAGCTGTCGGTGAGTTAGTTGTTTTTTTTTCCCCCCTACAACGCTCTGTTCCCCCTCGCCCCGCTGTCCCTCCAGATGTTGCTGATGGTGCAGCTGCCCCATCCCGCCGCGGGGTCCCCCTACAGAGTTTTTCCCCTGGGGCTGAGTGTGAGGCTCCTGCTGCAGTGAGCCAAGCTCGAAGGCTGCATTTTACCTCTGAGGGCTGGAAAAGCGCATGTGCCCCTTCCCTGCCTGGCTCAGGTGGGAGAGGGCTGCTGCCTCCCCCCACGTTCTCCCCTCTGGCACGGCTTTTTTGGAGGTTGCCCAGCCCAGCTGCTAGTGGGAGGGTGAAATTAGAGAGGAAATGGCGATGCATCCCGGTGCGTACCCGGGAGCGGGGCACCGGAGCAGCCTGCACGGTCTGGGGGAGACCGTCGGCTCCCCGGCACGGGGGTGTCTGGGAACGCCGAACTCTGCTCTCACCCCCTTGTGCTGTTGGTGCCTCCAGGCTTGCTGGCATCCCCCATGGCGTCTCCCCTGGAGCAGGCACTGGCCGTGATGGTCTCAACCTTCCACATGTACTCAGGGAAGGAGGGGGACAAGTACAAGCTCAGCAAGCAGGAGCTCAAGGACCTGCTCATGAAGGAGCTGCCCACCTTCAGCGTAAGTGTGGGGCAGGGGGTCCCACATCCCATGGGAGATGCTGGGACTCGGGGATGTGGCCCTTGATGCACAACCTCATTTTAACCCCCCTCTTCCCCCTGGGCAGGGACAAACCAACGAGGCCAACTTACAGCAGCTCATGCGCCACCTGGACAGCAACAGTGACAGCGAGGTGGATTTCCAGGAATACGTGACCTTCCTGGCCTGCATGGCCATGATATGCAACGACTTCTTCCAGGACTACCCCGACAAGATGCCGCGCATGAAGTGAGCGCAGGGCTCCAGCCCTGGGCTGTATCGCTGCTCCCATGACCCCTGCCACTGTCTTCCTGATGCTCTTTCAATAAAAGTTGATATAAACAAAGTCCTCTGCGTGGTTTGCAAGGGGGGTTTCTGGCCGCAGAGACGGCTGCTGTCACGCTGGGGAAGACCCCGCTTCCCTTCCATGTGCGCATTGCAGGTACTAGGTGACGAGCGAGAGCAAGGACACTTCCAAGCTGGAATTTTCTCTGCTGCAGCACGGGCACCGCATTCCCCGAGCCCTTGTAAACTGCCCGCGGGGCTGATACCCGTTGGCGTGAGTCAGCGGCGGGCTCTGCCCAGCAGCACCCTGCCCTGCAGCCCTGGTAACTGCTTCGCGGCCGTGCAAGGCAAGGCAGGAACTTTCACAGGGATTAATACCTCCGACCAGTGCCATGATAACAGCAACGGGTGAACAGCTCCTTTTTAGGCATAATTACTAAGCTTACATGGAGTAAACATCTGTCCCTGCACCTGCTGCTCTGTGGGACAGGACCTGCTGCGTTGGGAAGTCACCCTTGTCCCTTCCCCACCCCAAGTGAACCCTTGGGGAACAGGGTTTCAGTTGC